CCCCCAAGCCGATCCCGGGTTGTCTGTTTCCTGCCTGGCCTCACCCCGAAGGTGAGCCCGGGACAGTCCGTGGCCCCCCACAGGGACGCAGAAAGCCCTTGCGGAGTGGCGAGCGAGTGACCTGGGCTTCCTCCTCCCCAGGTCCAGCTGGGAGCTCCCTGACCTCCAGGAGGGCAAGATCGAGGCCATCAGCGACTCGGACGGGGTCAACTACCCCTGGTACGGCAACACCACGGAGACGTGCACCATCGTGGGCCCCACCAAGAGAGACTCCAAGTTCATCATCAGCATGAACGACAACTTCTACCCCAGCGTCACGTGGGCCGTGCCGGTCAGCGAGAGCAACGTGGCCAGACTGACCAGCATCTACCGGGACCAGAGCTTCACCACGTGGCTGGTGGCCACCAACACGTCCACCAACGACATGATCATCCTGCAGACCCTGCGCTGGCGCATGCAGCTCAGCATCGAGGTGAACCCCACGCTGCCCCTGGGCCAGCGCGCCCGGCTGCGGGAGCCCGTCGCCCAGGACCAGCCCAAGGTCCTGACCAAGAACGAGCCCATCCCGCCCAGCGCCCTGGTCAAGCCCAACGCCAACGACGCGCAGGTCCTCATGTGGCGGCCCAAGTACGGGCCGCCGCTGGTGGTGATCCCGCCCAAGCACCGGTGACGGCCGGGGCCGCCCACCGGGTCAAGCTCCCAAATAATAAGCCCGCTCAAAACGACCCCGGCGCGCTCCTCCGTCCTTCAGCGAAATACAACCATTCTACCTTCCCCAGCGGGCGGATCTCACTGTGCTAAAGCCCCTGGGACGGCCTCCCCCTGTCCTCACAGGGAGGCAGGGAGGCCCAGGCGGGACCGACAGACCCCACCCACGTGCGCCCTTCGGGGCCACCTCTGGTTTCTTCTTCTCTCACGATTCCAGCCATCCCCTTGCACCGGGTTCCCCGAAACGCCGCTTTTTCCGTTCTTTTTTCTCTCTTCGGTTTTTTCTTTTCTTGACTCCTCTTCAAAGGTTCAGGGGCGGGAGGAGGGGGAGCTGACGGCGCGGCCGGCCCAGGCCTGGGATCCGAGAGGCTGGCTCGCGCTGCCGAGGGCTTGTCGGGCGCGGCCGGCCCCCCATCCAGCCCCCTCAAACCCCGACATGCGGCCTTACGTAGACTTGCTTTGCCAAACTTTTGCCTTAAGCTGAATTTAAAGGAAGAAAATGAAACAGAGAGAGAAAGCAGGATCTCTTTTCTACTAGACTTTCATCTTCTGCCAGAGGTGGGGGGGAGCTGGGTCAGGGATGGGAGGGGTCCCGAGCCCTTCTTCCCGGGTGTCTCCGGAGAGGACCCAGGAGAGAGATTTAGACCCGAAACCAGCTGTTCCTCCTTCTGTTCCACCAGAATCAAAGCCCCTTCTCTCCTTCCCCAGGTAGAACCCTGTCCATCCTGCCCGTGGAGGGGGGCTGTGAACTCTGGCAGGGGGCGGGGAGGGGGGAGTCTCCTCCCCTTTTTCTCAGCAGCCTTAACTTGCTTGGGTGGTCCTGGGAGCTCTGGGTCGGGGGATCCTCGTCCTCTCGGTCCTCAGGTCCCACCGCGGATGGGTCCCTGGCCGGCCCCTAAGTGTGTGGCTTTTCCCCTCCCATCTGCTCTGGCCCCAGACGCCTGGGGGGCTCAGCCATCAGGGTCACCAAGACGCAGCCCCCGTTGCGGTCTAAAGGTGAGGAAGGTACACGTGTCCCTTCTTGCCCGGCATTTTAAGACTTGAATCCGGCGGGCCCTGGCCCCGTGGCTGGCTGGCCGCCCTCCCGTGTACTGCAAAGGCGCCCAGACAGGGCCCATTCTCAGGGGGTGATGTCACTCCCAGGGGGTGGGGGTGGGGGACTGCAGACAGGCTCTGGGGTCCCCATTCAATCAGGGTCCCGGGCTGGGAGGACGGAGGGGGCCCACAGTCGAGAAGAGACAGGGCTGCTCTGGGGGCTCCGTGTCAGGCGGGGACAGGCGTCCGGTGGCCAGTCCCTGGGGCCGACCCTGCCTCGGACCCAGGCCCCTGGAGTGCGCGTGCATACTTGGCCCTGAGCAGGGTCAAGGTTCCAAGCAATGTCAGCCTTGGGGCTGCTCCCGGGAGCGATCTCCCCGCTCCCCGCCACAGCCACACCACTGGCACACAGACTAATGATCAAGCACAGAAAACCGTCCGATGAGAAAAACAATCCGTTTCTGCTACAGATGAGCCACTTGTCGGAGTCTCTGTGACAACGTGGGGGGCTGTGGGCGCCAAGTTCTCCTCCTCGCCCACGTGACATCGTGTTTGTTCAAGGGGTGCTTCACGTCCGTCCATCTCTGCCGTCGGTCTTCGATCGGGCTCGTGCCCGGAGGCTGTCCTGGGCCCTGCTGGGCTGGAGCGGCCGGCGTGGTGCTCAGGGGGCCCTGGGTGGGGGGCACGACTTCCCCCAGGTTCCCCTTTGGGAGTGTGAAGGCCGGGCCGCCCAGAGAGGCCAGAGCCTTGAGTCGGGGGAGCGGCAGTGGGGTCCCAGCGGCACCTCTGAGCCCGGGCCGGGGAAGGGACAGCTGGGGCTTGGCCTCCCGACTACAGAGGCTCCTCTCCACAAGTCTTTGTTGCACTAAAGCAGGGGACAGGGGCCTGGAGGGGTCAGGAGGTGGGGTCCTCGGGCTGGGCTGGGTCATGCCAAGGAGTTCTTCCTGGAGGCGGGGCTCGGGAGCAGACCGGGACAGGGCTGAACCGCCCTGGCGCAAAGGAACCCCTGGACCCCCATTTTCTGAGTGTGGCAGACGCTCGAGGCAGGGGCCAGCACCCCTTCCCCGCATGCCCGGCCCCCAGCCCACCTGCTCCCTGACATCTCCCTACCCGATGCTCCTTTCTCTCTACGCCTCCTGTCTCGCCCAAGACAGGGCTGGGAGACCCCGGGAAGGCTGCAGGTCCTGCAGGGACACTCAGCCTAGCTCAGGGCGGGTCCCTCGCCCTCCTTCCTCATTGGTCGCAGACCTCCCTGGCTTCCTGCCCGAAGCCTGATGTCTCTGTTAGCACCCCCCAGCCCCACCCGGGCGTGAGCACTCACGCACTCCTTCCAGCAATAAGAACCGTCCTTGGTCGTGGAGAGTACTGTGACACAAACCAGTGCACTTACCAGGAGGCACAAGACTCTTGAAGAAAATGTCAAGTGAACCTCTTTTTTTTTAAGAAAAAGAAACATATTCATAAAGAAATAAAATGTAATTTTAAAGTAGGCTTGGCTGGTATCTGGATGTTTCGGAGTGGCACGCTGGGGTGGGCGGCCCCGTGGTGCTGGCCGTGGGGGTCAGCGAATTGGGGGCGGAAGGATGGGCTGAGGTCCGGGAAGGAGTGGCTCTGGGATTGCAGTTTTACACCCAGAAGCACTCCACCTGAGGCCTGCCTGGAGGAGGGGCAGGCTGGGAGGTTGAGCTAGGAACGGGGGGCAGCTTGGCTTTTTGGCAAATAGTAGAAACCGCAGAAACCCCCGCCGGGTGTCATGGTGGGAGCCCGGAGTCCCAGCTACTTGGGAGGCCGGGGCAGGAGGCCCACGTGAGCCCAGGAATTCGAGACCGGCCTAGGCAATCTAGCGAGACCCCATCTGTGCAAAAAAACCCACAAAAATTAGGCGGGCTTGGTGGTGTGTGCTTGTAGTCCCAGCTACTTGTGAGGCTGAGGCAGGAGAGCCGTTGAGCCCAGGAGCTCGAAGCTGCAGTGAGCGATGATTGTGCCACTGTGCTCCAGCCTAGATGACGGAGTGAGATTCTGTCTCTAAAACAATAAAAAAAGAAACCCTTTTGCCAAGGGTAATCAGTGTTTTGACTGGGTCCTAACTCGGGTCCCACCGTGGGCCTGACACCTGCCTTCCTGTGGAAAACAGGACAAAGTTCTACTGCCTGTCCTCGCCAGGAGCAGATGAGGGAGTCTCTCGGACTTGAGCACTGAGAACAGATAACTCCTCCTCTAATCGGGGCTTGTGGTACTATCACGGCCACTGCAGTCTCAGCCTCCTAGGCTCAGGCAAGCTTCTCGCCTCAGCCGCCTGAGTAGCTGGAACTACAGGTACTCGTCACCACACCTGGCTCATTTTTTGATTTATCGTAGAGATGAGATCTCGCCAAGTTGTCCAGGCTGGCCTCGAACCCCTGAGCTCAGACAATCCTTCTGCCTCAGCCTCCCAAAGTGCCGGGATACAGGCGTGAACCACCACGCCCGGCTATAATGGGGGTTTTCTTATGTGAGGATGGGTGGAGGGAGGCCCAGAGGTCCTGAGGAGCTCTGAAGGCAGCCAGATTCAAGGCCGTTTGCGTGAGCTTGGGCAAGATACTTGGTCCCCCCGAGCCCCACTTACCTTGTAAGGAAAATGGGGCTTCTCGGAGTAGCTGCCTCCGAGCTGATTTGGTGTGAACATGCCACTGTACTCCAGATATAAGCTCATTAAATCCTCGTGACAACCCACAGGGGAGGCATCACCGTGATTCCCATTTCGCAGACGGGAAAATGGGGCAAGTGGAAGTCAAGAAACTGCCTGAGGCCGGGATTCGAACCCTGGCCCCATAGCCTGCTCTCAGCCTGAGTGAGAGACTGGACACACATTCGGCACCTAATAATGAGGGGCAAATATCCGGTGCCCAGTAATGACTGGTGACTATTATTTTTAGAGTTGGAGCCTTAGTCTGTCACCCAGGCTGGAGTGCAGTGGCACGATCACAGCTCACCGCAGCCTTGACCTTCTGGGCTCAGGCGATCCTTCCGCCTCAGCCTCCTGGAGTAGTTGGGGCTACAGGCACGAGTCATCATGCCTGGCTGGTTTTTTTGATTTTTTTTTTTTTTCCTGAGTTGGAGTCTCACTCTGTCGCCCAGACTGGAGTGCAGCGGCCGCTCCCGGCCACCGCAGCCTCGACCTGCTGGGCTCCGGCGATCCTTCCGGAATTACAGGCGCGCGCTACCACGCCCGGTTGATTTTTTGACTTATTGTGGAGATGAGGTCTCGCAGCCCGGGCGGGTCTCAAACCCGCGGGCCCAGGCAATCCACTCACCTCAGCCTCCCAAAGGCGCGGGATTACAGGCTGAGCCACCGAGCCCGGCTATTTTTTTGATTTTTTGTAAAGACAGGGTCTCACTATATCGCCCAGGCGAGTCTTGAACTCCCGGGCTCTCAAAGTGCTGGAATGACAGGTGTGAGCCACCACACCTGGCTTGGTGGCTATTATTAAAAAGGCCCCATGCCCCTGGCTCCCCTCATCTTGGGTGTCCCGGGCAGGAAATGCCCCAGAGGTCTCAGTGCAGCTCTGGGGTCCACAATCAGCCCGACTCATGCCTTTTGAGGAGGGGCGGGCTGGGCAGATGCGCACGGGCTTCAGGGTGGGTGGGGGCCCCTCTGCACCGCCCCCGGGGACAAGGCGCCCCGCTTTGTTCGCCCTGGGCGTTGGGATTGGGTCTCTTCTCTGGGCTCTCCACGTTGCAGCAACCCGGCGGCCCTCCACATCCTGCCTCCTGGGGCTGAGACTCTCAGGAAATTGCATAATCAGCGCTGCCGGCCGCCCTCCGCCCAGATGGCTTCTGGGTGGCGCGGCTCACTGTCGTGGTTCGGCTTTGGCTTGGGGAGTTGGCCCCGAGCTCTGCTGCGGGAGACCGTGGGGAGTGTGCGGGCCTCGCCAACAGCGGAAGGTCAAGTTGGACCCCACCAGGACAGAGCCCAGGGCGCGCAGGGCCGCAGGTGTCCA